GAGAGCCATCTCTACAAGGTGCTTCCATTTCCTCTCCTCTCACTGCTAAACTCTTTACAATCTGGCCTTCAGTCTCAGCGTTCACCTGGAACTGCCCTCTCCAAAGCTGCCAATGATCTGATTGCCAAATCTATTAGCATTTTCTCAATCCTTATCCTTCTTGAATTCTCTCTGTAGCATTTGACCCTCTTGATCATCTTCTCCTCCTGGATCCTCTGTTCTCTCTAGATTTTCATGATATTGCTCTCTTTTAGTTCTCCTGTCTGACCACTCCTCAGTTTGCTTTATTGATTCTTCACCCATATCACATCCAGTAACTGGATATGTCCCTCAAGGCTCTGTCTTGAATACTTTTCACTTTTTTCTTTTCCTTTTATATTATTTCATTTAGTAATTTCATCAATTCTGATGGATATAGTTGTTATCTCTATATATCTGGCCCTAGCCAATCTATCTATCTATATGTGTGTGTACACACACACACACACACACACACACACACACACACACACGTGTCCTGAGTGACAGTTTTGCCAATTGGATATTTCCTAGGTATTTCAAACTTAACATGTCTAGAACAGAATTAATTATTTTTCCCCTCTTCCCCACTTCTCTTAACTGGAGATGGCGTTTCCATCCTCCCAAGCTCACAATCTAGGTGTCTTCCCTAACTCCTCACTCTCATTCACCTCACATATCTGATCAATTGCCAAACCCTATTATTTCTACTTTAATGACATCTCTTGTGTGCATCCCCTTTTCTTTATTTATGTAGCCACAGGCGTGGTTCAAGGCCTCATCGGCTCTCCTCTGGACTATTGTAATAGCCACCAATTCAACTTCTGCACAGTCTAATCCTTCCTGCAATCATGCCCATCATTTTCCTAAAGCATAAGTTCGACTGTCACCTTTCTGTCTGTCTCTGTCTCTCTCTCTCTCTCTCTCTCTCTCTCTCTCTCTCTCTCTCTCCCTCTCTCTCTCTCTCTCTCTCTCTCTCTCTCTCTCTCACACACACACACACACACACACACACACACACACACACTCAATAAATTGGAGTGGCTACCTATAATCTCTAGGATCAAATATACTTTGTTTGGGATTTAAAACTTTATAACCTGGTTTCTTTCTACCTTTCAAATCTCATACTTTACTTCCTTCCACATACTCTATAACACAGCTGCCCTGGGCCACTTATTATTCTTCACACACAACATGGCATCTTCCAACTCCACAACTCTGCCCTGGCTTTCCTCCCCACCCCACCCCTCCATTCCTAGAATGCTGTCCTTCTTCAACACAGCTCTTAGTTTCCCTGGTTTTTGGCAAAACTCATGTCAAATCACATATTCTGAAATCCTTTATTGCCCATTCCCTCCAGGTACTCATGCCTTTCTCCCTGAGGCTGCCTTCCACTTACTTTTTGTGTGTCTTGTATGTACCTAGTTATTTCACTTATGTCTTCAGTGCTTACTTAGTACAGTACCTGGCACATAGTAAAGCACTAATAAGTGCTTTTTTTTACTGGTTTGCCACAAAGTTGATGTACACACAGGTTTTCAAGACCATAACTATGGAACAAACCAGACCTACTCATTCATTAGCATTTTGAGTGGTTTTTACCAGAACTTTGGAAATGTATTTCTATCAGTCTGCCTATAGCTTTGAAGTGCTCCCTAGGTAGAGCAGTGCACTGTATTGAATTGCCTTGGGAAGTTTCCCAAAAAAGCAGAAAAACCATTTCCTTTAATCTCTCCCCAAAGAGTATACCATGTAGTGATTATGAGCATGAGGACTCTCCCATTCAAACTCAGTAGCTTCCATAACAAATGAGGTTTTAGAACGGCTTCGTATTTGTTTGCAAGGGTTATCATGGAATCGACTTATATCTCTTTCCTATAGATACTTAACTTCCCATAATAATTTTTTAATTTGTTTTGGGGGGGAGGGGTTTGTTTTTTTGCTTTGGTAATCAGGGTTAAGTGACTTGCTCGGGGTCACACAGCTAGTAAGTGTCAAGGTCATATTTGAGCTCAGGTCCTCCTGACTCCAAGGCTGGAGCTCTATCCTCTGTACCACCTAACTGCCCCTCCCACAATTATTTTTTCTTAGTTTCTAACTTCTGAACAGGCCAATTTGTTCTTCAACCGTTGAAGAATTGGAATGCATCATATACTGTTGTTTACATATGAGTGTACTATTTCAAGAAAGAGGAATTTTTTTTTAATTTTTCACCCCTCTGGCCTACCTCTCCCCTCCAACTCACACTCACAGTTACATCCCTCAGTGGAGAAAAACACCCCAGGATCCAGCCCTCTGGATGCACATTACAGACTATGGCTCAGGAAAACCCACACCATTGTGATAGTTAAGCAAAGGCATTTCCTGAAAAGGAAGAATAAGGAGAGTAGTGATCTCCCCCATCAGCCTCAGGCCTGGGGTCAGTGGAGAGTGGACACACAGAGTTCACAAGGGACAGGTACTCATACACATGGATCCTCTGGAACAGAGGAACCCATGTGGGTAAGGCATCACACCTCTGGAGCTACCTCTGATGTCCTCGAACCCTTCCCATCTGCAGCCTCTGCTAGAACCTGCCCCCTTGGGCCCCAGCAGAGGCTGCTCCACAGGTGTTGCTTCACTGCTTGAGTGTAGTCACCTTCTACCACCTCTGGTGCACACCCCAGTACTGGCTGGAGGCTTGGCCCCAAGGCAGTTTGTCCTCCAAGCAGAATCCTAGCTCCATGTGCTGGCTTCTACTTCACTTTATAACTTGACTCTGAAGCTGGATGCTTTCAGGCTGAGTGTAGACATATTTTCTATGGCAATATGCTTCTGATGCAAAATGCTCTTGCCAATGGAAGAGAAAAGAAGAAGAAATCCTCTCATAGTTTAAGGGACACGAGGGAAAAAGTGAAGGCAAAGATTCAAGAACCTTCCTCAAGAGCTTGGTTCTTCCTCCAAAGCTGACTCTTTTTTTTTTAAACTGATTCCATAACTCAGTCTACTTTTTCTTCAGGAGTTTGACAGGTCTTTTAGTCTTTGTCAATCTTCCCTCAAGTTTCCTAGCCCTTTCATATGCAGGTGAGCCAGTCAGAGTCTAAAGGGGAATAGTTCTTGCATCTTGTAACTTCATTCTAATGGATTAGGGGGGTGGGAGTGGGGCCAGGGAACGTAGTTGGCTACGGTCTCCTGATTCACTCACTCCTTACTACACTGGAAAGTGCTTACTTGTTTTATTTCCATTCCATAGAGGAAAATTAACTCAAACTCAGGAGAGGATCTAGGGTTATGAGTCTCAAGGACTGTTAACATGAGTCTCAATGACTGTTAACAGCTTGTCAGAACCTGGTTGGGTGTTTCAACCTATTAAGATAATGAACAGAGGTAGCTGGGTGGTGCAGTAGATAGAGCTCTGGCCCTGGAGTCAGAAGGACCTGAGTTCAAATCTGGCTTCAGACACTTGATACTTAATAGCTGTGTGACCCTGGGCAAGTCACTTAACCCCAATTGCATCACAAAAAAAAAAAAGAGAGAGATAATGAACAACTTTGAATTTCTAGCCAGAGGAACTCCGGTCAAGCAATGAAACATCTCTTTTAGCAGCTATTCTATGTCATGTGTTGTACTGGGCACTGGAGATAACAAACACAAAACCAAAACAGCTCTTACCCTCAAGGAGTTTATCTTCTACTGGGGGCAGCAATATATGCACATGTTTGTAAATGGAAAGTATTTATGAAAGAGTGGGGTGTAACAACTAACAATCAAGAAAGGCCTCGTGGGAGTTGACACCTGAACTGAGCTTTGAAGAAGACTGGAATTTGAAGAGGCAGAAGGGAGAGGGGAGTAAATTGAAAGGATGAGGAGCAGTCCTTTTAAATCACAGAGACAGGAGCTCTAGTACTGGAGGGGAGAGAGAGCAAGAAGAGCAACTTGGCGATAGTGTTCAGTGCATCAAGGGATGGAGTCATACAGTAACCTGAGCAGGAAGGCAAGAACCACATGATAAAGGGCTTTAAATACCAGGCATAGGAGTTGGGGTGGGGGGGGCGCTTGTTTTTTACATCCCAGAAGCAGGAGAGAGCCACTGGATCTCTTTGAGGAGGCAGCATGATCAGAGTGGTGCTTTAGGGATATCAGGTTGGCAGCTCTGTGAGGGAAGGCTTGGGAGAAGAGGGAGACTGAAGTTAATGGGATGTCACTTTGAACTAGGGTGTTTCTGGTGTGAGTGAAGAACATGGGAAGGATGAGAATTTGTAAAACTTGGCAACTAAATGGAGGTCATGGAGAGAGAAGAATCACAGATAATTCTGAGGTTGTGAACATCGGTGACTGAAATCTAATGACCTTTGGTATTCAGAGGGCTCTCTTCCTGCTTCATAAAGAGTTGTTTACAAAATTGTGTTTTTTAGTCAAAAGTGTTTTTTTTATATCTCTAGACATAAGATTTATCATGGCACAATTGCTTTTTAAAATCAAATTAAAATCACAGAAGAAGGATTTTGTGTTTTGCTTGTTTGTTTTTAAAGAATGTGAGTGACTAGAAGGCTAGTGATAAATACCCTTATCAGAAACTGGAAAGTTAACACGAAGAGTGGGTTTGAGGGAAAAGATAATGAGTTCTGCTTTGAAAGTATGGAGTCATTGAGTTTTTGTCATTATTTTCCAAATCATAGGCTTGGACTCTTGTTTTTTGTACCAGCCTCATTTTGATATTGAACTGAAGCAACTGAAAACCTAGCTTCTAGTCTGCTTAGGTACAGCTTAAGCTTTGGGTCTGATCTAAAAGCCTTGGAAGCCCATCAGATCCATATGAAGTTACCTACTGCATTTATCTATCTTGAATGACCTTTGCAGCAAGCTGTTTTGAATTATAATGGTTTCTCTTTGACAATGCAAATATTTTCTTCTGAGTTCCTGGGAGAGAGAAGGAAGCAAGCTGAACTAAAATGAGATTTTTGAGAAATGTTGATCTCCTCTCCTCTCTGTCTCTAAAGAGCCAATGCCCTTGAGGAGCAATTAAAGGAGCAGGAATTGAGAGCTGATGAGATGATCCTTGAAGAAATCAGAAAGCAGAAGGAACTCCTGTGCAAGATGGAGAGAGAAAAAAGCATTGAGATTGAGAATCTCCAAGCCAGGTATGGCATGATAAAAATAAGAGTATTAATAATGAGAAATGTAATATGAATCAGATTTGTATAATAGAAGATCTTAGTTCAGTTTGAAGTATGCTGTGTACCTTTCAGTCCAACCATTTAACTGGTACTGTGTACTGAAATCTTTTAATTTTATTTAAATAAAAGAGTAGGACCCTAAAATCTGCTTTCCTGGTTACCTTTCCCATCTTTATGGATTTTTTTTCACACATCTAGTAATTTCTCTTTTTCTATAAATTGGAATAACTCCAGGCCATTTGCATCACCTTTATAGAAATGGGATTGCTAACTGAGGGTTATGCCTGAGAATCATTGTAAAATGGGGAAAGGGAGATAGCAGTTTTTAAGACTGCTTCACTAAAGGACAGTTTTGATTTGTGATTAAAGATCTTGTGTGAGGCTGGGTTTATCAAGAAGGCAGTGTGTTCAGCCTTTGACCTTTTATCCCTGGTGTTGAACTCTCAAGTTTCCTAGGCCACTGTGCTAGTCTACCCTGAGATGTAGTGTTTCTTATAAGAAATATAATTAAGAATAAAAACAAGGAACAGATTTCTTTCTGGGACTATGCAAATACAAAGCTACAAATATGCATTTCCTCTGGAAGTGCCAAATAGCATTTTCTTTTTGATGCTTTCCAAGTGAATGTGATTACATGAGAGAGAATGTGCTATAATCTGAGTTATTGGAGGTGTGTTCCAAGATTGAACAAATTTTGCTATTCCATACATACATTGTATTGATGTGCATATTTTCCAAACCTTGCTTTAGAGATATCAAAGTAAAAACAAAGGAATTTGGGTGAGGAAATACTTTGTCTATAGTCAAAACTATCCAATTTACAATGTTCGTACCATACTCTCAAAGTTAAACATGCATCCTTCTTTCTATGAGCAATCAGTAAACTACAGAAATGAAAAGCGGCATGTGCCATCAACAAAAAATCGTACTTTTAGTCAGTTTGTGTAACTTGTCAGGGAATGTACTGTGTAGGGGAGGAGATTGTCTGGCTGCTTGTTGGAAATGTCTGTTGTGTCAAAACAAAATGGATCAATAACTTTGTTTAAATGATTCTGTTTGGAAGCTAATACAAATCAGTGATCTGTCATCATTAGAAAAAAGAGCATCCCTGTCAGGATAGGTATTTGAATTGGCCAGGGAAATAGTCTTTTTACGCTATTGGGAACCTAAAAAACTTGCTTTCCTATTTTTGTGAGTTGGACTGAGGGGCGGAGGATAGGGGGAGGCAGTGAGGAGGGAGAAGGGGACAGTGGAAGACCATCCTGAATCTCAAAGGAGAACTTCTAGATCCAGATGGGAGCTTCTCAAGGTAATGACTTGAGTGATAGCCTGTAAACACGTCCTTCAACTGCTGTCAGTAAAGATCTCAATTCAGTTACAGCCTTATATGAAAATGTTGAGGTAAGCACGGGGTCAGTAGTACCCTTCTCACCTCTCTCTGTAAATTGCCAAGAATTTCATCTTCCAGACTGTAGCTTGTTTTGTAAATCTATAGTAAAAAAGCAGAGAGGAAAATATATTTATTTTAACATTAGAGTTTATGAAGGGACAAACAATATGTAGTGGTCCACATAGCCTTATGCCATAACCATATGGGGAAGTGGAGGGTTTATAGTTCTAGAAACTGGAATGAGAAGGGATCTTAGAGATCACTTTGATATATATTCCTAGGTCACCTTGGAGGAGGAGGGGGAGCCTTTTCCTTAGGCGGGTTCACACAGATTCTTTCTAGAGTTAGAGCTCGCAGGACCAAGCTACAGTAGAGCATCCTGTACAGACAGAAGCCCCAGAGGCCTGGAACAGACACAGAGGTGCAGCTAAGCTCCTCCTGAATAATAGCAATGGAATCTCCTGCCCATGAAGTAGCTTTCTAGCTTTTTGGTCTTTGTCATTCTAGAATTGTCCCAGAACTCCCAGGGGGGAAGAGAAGCAACAAAAGGTTAGACTTTTACCACAGGAGAAAAGTGTTGACTATTTTCTGAAACCTGGGCAAGACTATAATGGGGTGGGGGGGAGAGGGTTCTTGTTAAGGCGCTAATTAAAGTTGTGTTATTGAGGGTTAAAAAAAAGTTCAGTTAAATGAACTGTTTTATAAGAACTTTCTAAGAACTCAAAAGTTCTTTTTTTTTAATATAAATTTATTTATTTTTAGTTTTCAATATTCACTTCCACAAGTTTTTGAGTTCCAAATTTCTCACCCCTCCCCCCACCCCAAGATGGCATGCATTCTGAATACCGCTTCCCCTGGTCTGCCTTCTCTTCTGTCTCTCCCCCCTCCCTTCTCTTATCCCCTTCCCCTTCCATTTTCCTGTAGAGCAGGATAGACTTCTGTACCACATTTCCTGTATTTCTTATTTCCCAGTAGCATGTGAAAACATTTTTTTAAAACATGTGTTTTTAAAACTTTGAGTTCCAAATTTTCTCCACATTCCTCCCTCCCCACCCACCCTCATTGAAAAGGCAAGCAACTCAATATAGGTTGTACATGTGCAGTTATGCAAAACACTTCCTTAGTAGACATGTTGTGAAAAACTAACTCTATTTCCCTTAATCCTATCCTGCCCTCCCATTTATTCTGTTCTTTCTTTTGACCCTGTCCCTCCTCAGAAGTATTTGCTTCTGATTACCCTCTTTCCCAATCTGCCCTCCTCTCTATCACCCCTCTGCTCTCTTGTCTCCTTCTCCCCCTATTTTCCTGTAGGGTAAGACAGATTTCCATACCCAATTGAATGTGTATGTTATTCTCTCCTTAAGCCAAATCCTATGAGAATAAGATTCCCTCATTCCCTCTCACCTTCCCCTGTTTCCCCTCCACTGTGAGAGACTTTTCTTTTGTTTTTTTTTTGTGAGATAATTTACCCCCTTCTACCTCTCCCTTTCTTCTCCGAGTATCATCCTCTCATCCCTTAATTTTATTCTCCAGATATGACCTCTTAATCTTCAATTCACCCTGTGCCCTCTATCTATCTATCTATCTATCTATATATACATACGTACATTTTTTTCCTTCAACTACCCTAATACTGACAAAGTTCTCATGAGTTACAAATATCATCTGCAGGAATGTAAACAGTTCAATCTTAATAAGTCTCTTATGATTTCTCTTTCCTGTTTATCTCTTCATATTCCACTGGAGTCTTGTATTTGAAAGTCAGATTTTCTATTCAGCTTTGGTCTTTTCATCAGGAATGCTTGAAAGTCCTCTATTTCACTGAATGACCATTTTTCCCCCTGAAGGATTATACTCAGTTTTGCTGGGTAGGTGATTCCTGATTGTAATCCTATCTCCTTTGCCCTCCAGAATATTATATTCCATGCTCTGTGGTCCTTTAATGTAGAAGCTGCTAAATCTTGTGTTATCCTGATTGTGTTTCCACAGTACTTGAATTGTTTCCTTCTGGCAGCTTCTAATATTTTCTCCTTGACCTGGGAACTCTGGAATTTGGCTACAATATTCCTAGGAGTTTTCCTTTGGGGATCTCTTTCAGGAGGAGATCTGTGGATTCTTTCCATTTCTATTTTGCCCTCTGGTTCTAAATATGAGGGCAGTTTTCCTTGATAATTTCTTGAAAGATGATGTCTAGGCTCTTTTTTTGATCATGGCTTTCAGATAGTCCAGTAATTTTTAAATTCTCTCTCCTGGATCTATTTTCCAGGTCAGTTGTTTTTCCAGTGAGATATTTCACATTGTTTTCTAATTATTCATTCTTTTGGATTTGTTTTACAGTGTCTTGATTTCTCATAAAGTCACTGTCTTCCAATTGCTCTATTCTTATTTTTAAGGAAGTATTTTCTTCAGTAATCTTTTGGACTTCCTTTTCCATTTGGCCAATTTTTCTTTTTAGGGCATTTTTCTCCTCATTGGCTTTTTGGACCTCTTTTGCCATTTGGGTTAGGCTTTTTTAAGGTGTTATTTTCTTCAGTATTTTTTTGGGTCTCCTTTAGCAAGCTGTTGACTTGTTTTTCATGATTTTCTTGCATCACTCTCATTTCTCTTCCCAGTTTTTCCTCTACTTCCCTTACTTGCTTCTCAAAATCCCTTTTGAGCTCTTCCAAGGCCTGGGACTGATTCATATTTTTCTTGGAGGCTTTGGATGTAGGAGCTTTGACTTTGTTGTCTTCTTCTGGTTGTATATTTTGATCTTCTTTTTCACCAAAGTAAGATAATATAATCTGACTCTTTTTGCGCTGCTTGCTCATGATCCCAGCCAATTACTTGAGTTTTAAACTCTTTGTTAAGGTAAGAGTCTGCTTCCAATGTGGAGAGTGTACTGTCCCAAGCTTCAGGGGTTTGTATAGCTGTTTTCAGAGATACTTGTAGGGACCTGTAAATTTTCAGTTCTTCCAAGGTGGTATGATAAGGGGCGAGGTGTTTACTCCTTTCCTGGCCTGTGACCACAAGTACTCCTTTCTGTCCCATAACTGTGAGGAGGGGTTCCTCTCCACAGCCACTACAAGCTCCACCACACCAGCGCTCCTCCTCACCCCAGCACTGCCACCCAGAACTGTGACCCAGATCCACACACGGGCAAAGCAAGAGATTCCTGCCTCAGCACTGGCAAAGAGATCTCTGCAGTCCCTCTCTGATCAGCCACTAGATTCCCCCTCAGTCTGTGGGCCGGAAGCTCGAGAAGCAGCTGCCCGTCCAGGGCCAGGCTCTTGGGGAATGGAGCTGAGACCCTGCCTTCCTCTCTGACCACCGACAGAAACAGACTTTTCCCACTGACCTTCTAAGTTGTCTTTGGCATTCGTGGATTGAGGACTCTGGAAACCTCCACAGCTGCCCGCAGTTCAGTCCTCTGAGGCCTGCTCCAGGTTTGCTGCGGCCTGCGTGCCGGCGCTGCGCTGTGCTCCGAGCCTGGCGCGATACACCTTTCTGATCAATCATCTAGGTTGTCTTGGGCTGGAAATTTGTTTCACTCTGTCTTTTTGTAGGTTCTGCTGCTTCAGAATTTGTTTAGAGCCATTTTTTATGAGTATTTGGAGGGGTTTGGGGGAGAGCTCAAGGAAGTCACTGCTTTCACCCTGCCATCTTGGCTCTGCCCCCAGAACTCAAAAGTTCTTAACAAAAAGTTTTGTCTTAACTTCTTTCTCTACATTAAAAAAATCTGCAGTAATTTAGTGGGCCTGCATTAATCAATAGTGGCTGTCATTTTGGGGGAAGGATGAGAATTTCTGGATTCTAGAGTATCTCGTGTACAAGACTAACAAAAACTTCACATCTCTGAAAGAGCTATGTTCTCTGGGACTTTTGTCATAAATTTCTGTCTTTTGGTAAGCAAATGATGAAATTCTAAGCCTGTGCTATTTTCTAACAGATTACAGCAGCTGGATGATGAAAACAGTGAGCTGAGATCCTGCACCCCATGTTTGAAGGCCAATATCGAGAGACTAGAAGAGGTGAGAGATATTCAGTATGGAGTTCCCTATTTATGTATGTTTTAGGCCCAGGAACAAACTCTTCCCTTGCCCAAGAAAGGTAGCTTGAAAGCGGTGCTTCACATTCATCTGATGCAGCAATGATTTAGCCTCAGTCATTCATTCAACAAGCATTTACCAAACATCAGACCAAGTGCCAGGCACTGTGATAGACCTGAAGGATACAAAACAAAGTGAAATAGTCCCTGTCCTCGGGAAGTATTGAGAGAACTAGCATGTAGACAAATCATAAATAGAAAAAAAGTAAATGCAAAGTAGTTTTGGTAGAGGGGAGGATGCTAGCAACTAGTGGGATCAAGATAAAGTTTGCGTGAGAGTTGACAGTTGAGCTGAATCTTGAAGGGATTTCAGGGTTCTAAGAGCCAGAGATGAGGAGGAAGTTCATTTCAGATGTGGGATGTAGCATGTGAAAAGGCATGGAGATAGGAGATGGAGTATCATGTACAGGCTAGAACATGGAGTGGGTGAAGGGAGAGTGCTGTACAGTCATTCGTATGAGGCAGGCTCTGGGATTACAACTCAGAGTCTGGGATTTTGGGAGCAAGGAAGTGACATTGTATTTTAGGAATTTCAGTTTGGCTGCTGTGTGGAGAATGAATTGAAGATGGAGAGACTCAAGGCAAGGAAGCCAATTCAGAGGAATTGAGAAGTGAGAAGTGATGAGGATCTGGACTATGATGGTATCTATTGGAGTGGATATCAGGGGAGGGAAGCAAAAGATGTGGGAGGAGAATCAACAAAACTTGGCAACTGATTGAAAAGTGGGAACAAAGAAGACAGAAGAACAAAGTATGACCAAGGTTGTGAACCTGGGTGACTAGTTATATCCTTGGCAGAAAAGGGGGAGTTAGGAAGAAGAAGGAAAGATGGTTTCTGCTTTAAACATTTTGAGTTTGAAATGCCTGCAGAACATCCAATTTGAAATGTCGCATAGGCAGTTGGTAATGGGGCAACTGGAGCTCATAAGAGAGACTGAGACTGTGAATATATTAATTTGGGGGGTCATTAACATAGGGAACTGATGAAATTACCAAGAGATGGAGTATAGAGAGATGGCTCAGGACAAAGATGGAGGGAGGGGTAGGACATGTATGATGATCCAACAGAGAATCGTGAGGCATAAGTAACAGGCATGGCCAGACAGGTTGGAGAAAAGGCAAGAGATTAGTGGCATAAGAACCTAGGTTGAAGAAATGCTATCCAGGGAAAAGGGTAGTCATCACTGTCAAAAGTTTCAAGAGAAGGCAAAGAGGATGAAGACTGAGAAAGCCAGATTATGAGGAGTTAAGAAGTAAAGTTACTGCACAAACAAAGCCAATGTGGCTTAGAGTAGTAGGGAAACAGTTAATTCTGCAACAGGTTTCTCTGATAAAAGTCTCATTTCTAAGACACGTAAGGAACTGATTGAAATTTGTAAGCATAAGAGCCATTTCACAATTGATAATTGGCATAGGCAGCTTGTAAGGGAACAAATCTAAACTATTTATAGCAATATGAACAAGTATTCCAAATCACTAATAAGGAGAGAAATGTAAATTAAAGAACCTCTGAGGTTCCATCTCACACTTTGGCAAACCTAACAGAAAAGGAAAATGACAGATGTTGGAGGGTCTGTGGGGAAAAAAGCGCATTAATGTCCTATTGGTGGAGCTTGAACTGGTAGAGCCATTCTGGAAAGTAATTTGAAACTATCCCCCAAAACTTACTAAATTGTGCATACCCTTTGACTCAGTAATGCCACTATTATATCCATACTACAAAGAGATGAAAGAAAGAGGAAAGTAACTCAAATGTATGAAATATTTATTTGTAACAACTCTTTTTTGTGGTGGCAAAGAACTGGAATCTAAGAGGGTACCCATCATTTGGGGAATGGCTGAATAAATTATGATGTATGAAGGTTATGGAATTCTATTGTGCTCTAAGACAGCACTTTTTAAACTGTGGGTCAGGACCCTATGTGGCAACAGTAAAAGGTTTCTGAATGCACAATGACCAAAAATTAATTAAAAATCAAACATGTAACAAATCTGAGGTGTTTCTGGCAGTGCTTGCCCGTATTGCATCATGCAGCTTCACTGCAGCCTTGGTTCTGACCACAAAGCATGGGCACTTTGCACTGCACATGCCCTCAGGCCACGCAATGCCAACAAACACTACCAGAATGTGAATGGAAAAAGTTTAAGAAGCCCTGCTGTAAGAAATGATGAAGGGGATGGTTTTGGAGAAACCGTGGAAGACTTGTATGAAATGATGTGGGATAAAGTTGAGCAAAACCAGGAGAAGAATTTATACCATAACAACCACACTGTAAAAAACGAGCAAGTTTGAAAGGCTTAAGAACTGTAATCAGTGAAATGATCAATCATGGTTCCAAAGAACTGATGGTAAAGAATGCTACCCACCCCCTTGCCAAAAGCTAATGGACTAAACATCCAGAATGAGATGCATGGTTTTTGGACATGGCCAATATGGGAATTTGTTTTGCTACAGAGTTGTGTTTTCTCTTCTTTTTCAGGGTGTGGGTAGGGGTAGCAAGAGAGGTATGGGAGGGAGAGAAAATAAATGTTTGTTAATTGAAGAAAATAAAGTATAATTAAAAATAAGTTAATAAAAGGAGAGAAAATGGAGGAAACATGTGCAGCTGATTTTTTTCCTAGGAGTTTGGCTGAGAAATAGAGGGGAATTATAGGAGAATAGCTGAAGCAAATAGTAGGGTGAAGTGAAGATTTTTTTTAAGGATAGGACAGATGTGAACATGTTTACAGACTACAGGGAAGGATCTAGTGGATAAGGAGATATTGAATATTAGATGGGATAATTTTAGGGGCAAAGTGCGGGAACAGATGGGAGGGCAGGTGGGGATTAAGGACATGAGTGGAGAAAGGGGCTTTGGTAAGGGGAAAAGGGAAAGGCCACTTCTAACACTTGGAGCAAAGGGAGAGAGAATGTAGAAGGATGTCAAGGGGTTTTGAGATGTGGAATTGAGAAGAGGGAGCTCACCATGAATGGCCTCTTTTCTCAGTGAAGTATGAGATAAAATCCTCTTCTGGGAGGGAGGGAGAAGGTTTGGAGCAAAAGCTATGGGGAGAGCATTAGAGAGTTTATTAGGGAAGAGTATAAGAATTTCCTTGTAGCCCTGCGGACCCAAATGAGGTTAGATAACATAACATTTATAGTAGACTCAAATCAGCAGTCATGTAACTTTTTTTTTTAATTTTGCTTTTTGGTGGGGCAATCAGGGTTAAGTGACTTGCCCATGGTCACAAGCTAGTAAGTGTCAAGTCTGAGGGTAGACTTGAACTCAGGTCCTCCTGACTCTAGGGCTGGTGCTCTATCCACTGCACCATCTAGCTACTCCTAGTCATATAACTTCTTTAAGTGAGTAGAAACTGAGAAGCTGGTGGTAATCTGGTGTTAGAGTTTGGAAAGGCATGAATAGCAAAAAGACAAAGGAACAAAGGATACAAGTATGGACAGTATGTGGTTACTTTGTTACAGTTGTAGGTAGGAGGACTACTTTGGGTAAACTCACTTGGAAGCAAGTATTTTAAGCCCCCAGAATATACTCTTTGCTTACACATACGATTTTGAGATGTCAGAATATGTCTTCCCTCTCACCTCTGTTATAGCCAAAGGGCACAGGCTTTGGGGTAGAAGCAGTGATGGCGATTAGGCTCGTATAAGCATGGAGGTACTAAACAGTGAATTCCCATGAAAAGGTTCCACTAGTGGTGATGTTACCCTGACCAAATCACTCAGTTAGTTTAAGCATGGAGTAGATGAGGCGATGGACATAGGATTGATCCCGAATAGAGGCTAGGGAGCTTCACTGAACAGAATCTTCACTGTTGGATACCTATAGGTGCCTCCTTAACTCAGACCAGATGTCTCACCGATTCATGTTCTTCCTGTCTCAGTGTAGCCCGTCCCAGCTCGTGGAAAAGCAAATGATTGTGTATTATTAATGTTGCCTTGAAATATGAAGGATCTGACACTTGGAAAGATACCTTGGTCTTGCTTGATCCCCAACTTTTACTTGAAGGGTGAATTTCAGAAGGTCAAACTAATTTAAAATGATTACTGCCTTCAGGGAGATGGGGAAGGGCTCTTTCTCAATACAAAAATAAACTTCAACCCCAGATCTAGTGTCTTATACTCCTTGAACTTTTAAAGGACAAAAATAGCAAAAAGCATAATAGGATCATTTTAAAATTCACAATGACCTTTTAAAAATTCAAGTTGTTCCAAATAGTTCATTTCTCTCCTTCCCTGCTTCTCCTCCTCCATGTGATCCTGACTGCAGCCCTAAAATCTGCCTTAACACTGACAGTCTTTGGAGATCTTCTAGAATCTGGAGGGTTCAAGAGATCAAACTAGAGTGGCTTTCATTCTAGTCAGTTCTTCAAGCAATCTAAATCCTCCAGGATCTATAAAATGAGGGGCTTGGGTCAGGTGTTAGGGAAGGCCCCTTCTAACACTACATCTAACTCTGAGAACCTTTTTTGTTTTCGAGCCTTTTGTACTTTGGTACAAACCAAAATCTGCTCCGTTCGTTTTGGGACCCTTTAACTGCTTCTGGGAAATGGAGTAAGTCCTAACACCTCATGACAGACTTAACTTAATAATAAAAAGCTTCCTGGGTTAGATATTGCCTTTAAAAACAAATCAGTAATGTACTGTGAAATTCTTACCCCCATTTCACCCCACCCTCTTAAAAAAGTTATTATTAATAATTTAACTCATTATCAGTAGCACTTAGGTTCCATCCAAAGCAGGTTATCCAGAACGGTCTCAGTTTTCTGGAAATCTTCAACTAAACACACACACACACACACACACACACACACACACACACACACACATACACACGTACTACACATGTACACACAAAATTATGTACATCATGGACAAATCAGTGAATGACATATTGTGAAGGTGAGGCAGGCACAAATATATTAGAGCTGTTTCATTTATATAATGCTTCTCCTAAAAGGGTTGAGCCTTTACCAGGTAAATATTAGCCCTTCCATGAACAGAAATTCAATTCAACAAATGTATATTATGCAAAGCACTGTGCTGGATGCTAAAGATAAAAAGATAGATATGGAACTTAAAGGAAGGACAAGTACTCAAACGTCTATGATATGAAGGAGAGTGAGATCATTGCAAGAGACAAGTCCAAGCAAGGTGCTATGGAAAAATTTGAGGAAAGAGAAAGCTCTTTCATCAGGAGAGAGTAAAGGGCAAGGAGAAAGATATTCAGGGAAGCTTTCTGAAGCAAGTGATACTTGAGTTAGGCCTTGAAGGAGGGGAAAGGCTTCAGCAGACAAGTGATACAGGAAAGGGAGCGGTAGGGCTGGGGGAAGCGATTTTAAGCCTGATAGAAAGCAGTAGCAGAGGCATGAAGGTAGGGGAGAGAGAGACACACACACACACAGAGAGAGAAGAGTAGGGGACTAAAAGCAGTCCAGATCAGCTAGAGCATAGAGTACATGAAGGGGGGCTATATGAGATGGAACTGAAAAGGTACTGTAGAACCAGATTGGACAGACCCTTGAAAACCAGTATAATCTATTTATACTTCTTCAGTAGGTCATAGGGAGCCACTGAAGATTTTTAAGTAGGAGTGATATGATTAGAGAAGTATACTAGGAAAATTATGTTTGAAGTTCTGTAAAGGATGGTTTTAAGGAAGTATTAGATCAGTTGAGAGGCTATTACAATAATCTAGGTGTGAAGCAATGAGAGCCTGAATAGTAGGGGCATTGTGGTAGAAGTTGAGAGGATAAGTTAGATATAAAAGATATTGTGAAGGTGGAATCATCTCAACTTGGATTATTGGATTAGACTGCTACTGACTAGATATACAGGATGAAGGAAAGGGAAAAGTCAAAGGTGACTCCTAATTACAAACGATTAGTGTAATTTAATCAAGAAATCGCCTCCAGTAAATATGGAAGATGAAGAAATTCTAATTGAATATACAATAAGTCCTACCAGACTGAATGAATAGGATCATATTTGGTGAGATGAATGTCTCTTTGTTTTGATTCAGTTTTAATGTAGTATATGGGGGTGGGGTGGGATTTTGCTTTTTCTTTGTTTTTCAGGAAAAGGAGAAATTGCTGGATGAAATTGAAGACCTAACCATTCAACTCAATGAAGAGCAGGAAAACAAAAGGAAAATGGGAGACAAACTGAGTCATGAAAGGCATCAGTTTCAGAAAGACAAGGAGTCAACACAGGAGGTGAGAATGTTATAGAATAGTCGTATATGAATGTTGCCTCCATGGAATCCAGCAAACAGCAAATATCATACCCCAAGATGTATCAGTAAAGTATTGAACAATGACTGTCATCTGTAATAGAAAGTATTCCCACTGAGGCAGGAACAGTGTTGGCACTGGTATTTACTCAATCCATATAGTTCCAAACTAGTGATTGTTTTCTATCCCTGCATCATTGCCACCCCTTTTTCCTGTTCTTTACCCATCAGGCCTGACCTCCTTCAGACCTTTATCAGAATCCCATCAACCCCACAGCTACCTATGGTCTCAAAACAAGCTCTTATCTTTCCCCTTCAATGCCAGACTTGAACATAGTAAAAAATCAGCAGGCACAAATCTGAGGTCAGCCATGACCAGTAGTAGTAGTATGTGCCTAAAAAGAATCAGAGCACAGGCATCTACGTTGGATTCTCATGAGATTCTAGGACGTGGAAGGCAATATTATCTGTGTATCTTCTTACATTATCAACCAATGTTAGCTGGTATCAAAGCTAATTCAGGTTTGTGATGTTGTGTCTCAATGCAAAAGGTAATTAATTTTAGCCAGTATTTACTACATCTCACTTTTAGTATGCTTTTGTGGCTGAAGTCTATGTTGGGGTGGAAGTGGGGAACACTTATCTTTCACTTCTGGAAATATAGCATCCAAAATAAAGTATGAATAGAGGTAAATCCAGTTAAGGTTTATTTGAATTCACTCTGTAAAGCCTCCATGGGCTTTTAGAGTCCTATCTTCCCTGAAACATTCATCTTTTTGGTTGTGTTACAGCTGATTGAAGACCTCAGGAAACAGTTGGAGCACTTACAGCTCTTTAAGCTTGAAGCTGAGCAAAGACGAGGTCGGAGCAGCAGTACAGGGCTCCAGGAATACAACAGCAGGACACGAGAGACTGAGCTGGAGCAAGAAATCCGAAGGCTGAAGCAGGTATTGGAGCAGGCAGGGCAAGCAGAACTTTGTCACCAAAGACAAGAAGGAATCCCCACTAAAAGCTTATGTAGAAATGTCTGTCTTCATTTGCTCTTCCCTGCTAGCGTTCTCAGCCTCAGATTCCAGGACGGGCTCTCTCTCTCTCTCTCTCTCTCTCTCTCTCTCTCTCTGCGTCTCTCTCTGTCTCTCTCACTCTCTCTCTCTGTCTCTCTCTCGCTCTCTCTCTCTCTCTCTCTCTGTCTCTCTCTCTCTGTCTGTCTCTCTCTCTCTCTCTCTCTCTCTCTCTGTCTGTCTCTCTCTCTCTCTCTCTCTCTCTCTCTCTCTCAGCCTCAGCACTGGTTTCTTCCCCCCAGACAATATCTGACCTGTATCCAGGGAAATTGGTCACCAAAAGAATAACATTTGTATTAGCTCTGTTCTATCAGTGATTAACTTCCCACGACTTCTTTCTCTGCAGCATGTAGAGTTAAACATGGTTTCAGGATTGACTCAGTACCTCAAACAGGATCAAATTGATGGTTTAATGTTTTTCTTGTAACCAGGATAATCGAAATCTAAAGGAGCAGAATGATGAGTTAAATGGGCAGATTATAAACCTCAGCATCCAAGGCGCAAAGAACCTCTTCTCTGCCTCTTTTTCCGAGTCCCTGGCAGCTGAGATCAGCTCTGTTTCACGAGATGAGGTAGTGAATCAGTGTTGTAAATATACTTTTGGAGGTCCAGCCCCTAAGCCATTTGTCTTCCCATCAAGTTATGCTGCAAACGGAATGACCCTGAGCATTATTTGTCTGGTCCCCTCACTTTTACTGATGAAGAAACTGTTCCTCAAAGAGGTTAAGTGACTTGCCCAAGGTTTCAGTGCCAATAAATGCTTGAGAGGAGACTAAAACTCAAGCCTCATAAATCTTATCCCTCTTCTTCTTCCACTAAGTCACATTGCCTCATGTTCATTCCCACCAAAACTACAGTGTTGGAGCTTAGATGATGATGTTTGTAATCTTGCTCTTCAGTTTAGTGTGCGTTTTTGTCCCACTTAATTTGTGATTATGATTTTAGATGCAGTTTTGTCTTGGCCTTTCATTTACATGGGAACTGCTAGTGTTACATGAAAATCACCAGTCAGTAACCATTCATTAAGCACCTGCTATGCACCAAGCATTGCTCAGTGCTGGGAATACAAATGAAGGTAAAAGACAGCCCCTGCCCCCAAGGAGCTCACAGTCTAATGGAGGAGAGAACATGCGAACACCTATGTACAGACAAGAATAGATGCAGGATAAATTGGAGATAATCAACAGCATTTGGGGTGCTGGGAAAGTCCTCCTATAGAAGATGGGATTTTAACTAGAATTTGAAAGACTTGAAGCAAGCCAAGAGTTCATCATGAGGAGGGAGAGCATTCCAGGAATGGGGGGCAGCCAGGCCCTGGAGTTGGAAGAGTGTCTAGTTTGGGAAACAGCAAGAAGACCAGTGTCACCAGATTATAGATTGGGAGGGGGGGTACAGTGTAAGTTGTATGAAAACTGGAAAAGTAGAGGAAGGGCAAATTATGAACACCTTTGGACACCAGAAAGAGGATTTCATGTTTGATCCTGGAGGTGATAGGGTGTGACTGAAGTTTATTGAGTAGGGGACTGTGGATGACATGGTCGGACCTGAACTTTAGGGAGATCAGTTTGACCACTGAGTAGAAGATGGCCTGGAATGGGGGAGAGACTTGTGGCAGGGAAATAACCAGTATATTCCAGGCATGAGGTGATGAGGGCCTGCACCAGGATGGTGACAGTGTCAAAGAAGAGAAGGAGTCACATGTCAGAGATGTTATGGAGGTAAAATTACCAGGCCTTGGCAACAGATTGAATACAGATTTCGGGTAAGAGAGAGTGAAGAGTAAAGGATAACAGCTAGTTTTGAAAGGTTGGTGGTACCCTTGACAGTAATAGGGAGGTTAAGAAGAGGTGAACATTTTCTGGGGGGGAAGATAATAAGTTCAGTTTTGGACATGTTGAGTTTAAGGTGTCTACAGGACATCCAGTTCAAAGTGTCTAATGACAGTTGGAGATGGGAGACTAGAGGGCACCAATTTCAGTCTTCTGATTTTAGAGTTTCCTACATTTTTGACTGATTGCCAACATTGTTAACAGTTGAAGAAGAGCAAAAGGGAGTATAAAAGAAATTGCTGGAGTGGAAGAGGGTGCTATTTGGCCACTTTTGACTTCTCTTGCAAGCCAGCTTCCAAACCATATTTCTCCAAACTTCTCAGGGATATCAACATGGATGAGAATTCCAAAGACTTCTGCATCATTACCACTTTCAGGTTTTCACTAAGTTTGAGTGATGAGATGGTGTCTTAAAATCAAATAAATTTATCATCATCTCAGTTGACTATGAACACCCTTGTTGAATATGTATATGGACTAGAGAAAGAAAGATAATGAAATATTTGGTGTTAACTTAGAATGACCTATGTGAAGGGTTCTTAAGTATTTTTAAATCCAGTACAACATCTCTTTCTCCCCAGTACCCTTCACCACTCTCCCTAAAACTCCTCCCCAAAGCTCAGCTATCTCATAGAGGCAGAAAAATGTAGTGGTAAGAGAACTGGACTCAGAAGCCATAGAGACTTTGCTAAGAATCCTGCTTTGACACTTACTAGTTGGGTGGCCACAGGCACTTTGTGCCTTTCCCAACTTTGGTTTCCTCATCTGTAAAATCAGGAGGAGCAATGTGGCTTAGTGGAGAGAAAACTAGACTTGAGTCAGGAGGGCCTGGGTTCAAATCCTACCTCTAACCCCCTACAGGCTGTGTGACCCTAGGTGAGTCACTGAATTTCTCAGTGTCAAGATGAGAAGGTGCTGACTTGTGTTCTTCACTGGAAATTCTCTCTACCAATTAAATTATGGCCTAGTTTTAAAAAATGGGGATAATAATGCTTATAGTAGCTTCCTCACAAAGTTATTCTGAGAATCAACTACATTAACAAATGTAAAATGTTCTGTAAAGCTTGAAGTGCTATACACATATCAACTATCGTAATTAGTGTTGTCAGACAACTTTGGGGCATTTCACAGCTCCCATGGTCTTCATAGGCTGTATAGTCTTGGAGGCCTTTGTGGGCAGAGACAAGGAAGGCCCAAGGGATAGTTGCCTGGTGTGCCATTTGCTGTTCCAGCTTCCACCAGATAATTATCTGGACCTCCGTAGCCCTCGTCCTCAGTAACCTCTCTGAAATCCTCCATAACCCACTGTGGGTCACAGCCTGATCTCCCAGCATGAAAAACCCAGGCTCATAGTAACTTGCTTCTTCATTTTCCCTACAGCTGATGGAGGCAATTCAAAAACAGGAAGAGATCAACTTCCGTCTCCAGGACTATATTGACAGAATCATTGTGGCGATCATGGAAACCAACCCCTCTATCTTAGAAGTGAAGTAAAGGAATGAAATGCTGCCCCTCCAATCCTGGTGACCTGGTGTGACCTTGCTGCTCTGAGCTTCAGGAGGCCCTGCTAAGCTCTCTAGACCACTAAGGTCTCATCTCCATCAAGGGGCAAGGAGGATCACATCCCGTTGCCTGAACCAGCCCAGAGCAATTGAGAGAAAAGCAGATACAGCTTTGGTTTGGTACTACCCTTGCTTGACTTAGCAGGGTGAAAGGGAATATAGTCGAGCAGAACCAGAAGCAGGGGGAAGATGGAGAAATGGGAAGGAGGAAGAACACTGCCTCCTTGCCAGTGGCACCATCTGAGTACGAGGGTAGAGAAATAGGCAATGATTCGATGAGTGTGATTTGATTCTCCACCTTTATTCTGGCAGATTCCTTTCTCTCTTGAGAGAGAAAGGTTCTCCAAGCATCTTGCCATATTAGATAGACTAATTAGAGAGACTTCTTCTGACTCCAGTGAACCAGTCCACTATGAATCCCTCAAAGCCCACTTAAATTCTGAAATGCTCGTGCTTCTATCCAGCTCTTTTGGGGCCAGTCTTCCTCACAGGTGATGTGCAGGCAGGTCTGCAGGTGAATTGTGTCTTGACTCAGTGTTTCTAAGGTGCTTGTGCAGTGAGGTTCCTCCCTTAAACCTTGCTTGGCTTCTGAGTTCACACTTCAAGGAACGTTCTTGGAAAGTGACTGTCTGATTTTTAGCAGAGTAAAAGGGAAAGGAAGCTGTTAGACTTCCTCTTCAGACATGTGCTGTGTATTCTGCCTTCTTTTTGAACCCATTGGTGACACATGTGATCCAGGAAGTTCCTGTTTGAGGTCAAGTTGATTTTATTTCACACCAGATGTAAAAGTGTGTTTGCAGCAGTGTACCCAGCTCCTTTTTCCCTGCTTTGAGCAAATACAGTTGTAGCCGTGAAGGAGATGGGTGAGATGGATGAGATGGAATTACAGATGACTAGAGGGCATTGGAAGGGACCAGATGAAACAGTGGGTTAAAGTAGAAATGTGGTTATGAACTCTTGTAAATGGCCTGTTTTTTGTCTTGAGGTAGATTGAGAGGAGCTAGGCTTAGTTTACCGGCTGTTGGAACCAGATTGGTAGCAGATTCCCCCTCCCCAATTCCTTTCCCATACTTCCCCTCGCCCGTGTAGCCTTAGAATTGCTCAGGCATGCATCTCACAGCAAAAATTGGGCACGCTGCACCTTAACCAAGGTTCTGCCTCACCCTGTCCCTTGCTGTGGTGTAGACAAAGAAACATTATCATGAGGACCTTCAGGATTATGTTCAGGATTCAAGGATTATTGGTGCCTAGTCAGGAATCCTTTCAGGCCCCGATGGCTGAGATCTTCTTGGGGGCAGTGTAGCTTACTACAATAATCCTTTTGGGGCAGGCTCTGTTAGTGATATTTTGAAACTATACAGAATAACCCTTCTCCAGCTCATCTTCACTATTTCTATGATATGAAGCTTGTATTCTTCTCAAAATCAGTTGAGAGAATAGGCTTTTGGTTTTATATTTAGTTCTTTTTCTTCAAAATAGGAGAGAGAGTACCTCCATTCTACTGGTTTGAGTACTGTAAGTACCTTGATATCCCCTCCCCCCACCCCGGACAATAGTAACATTAGGGATTCAGCCTTATCCAGCATTCCAGTGGATTGATGGTGGTGGGAAGATAATTCATTGGAAATTAACTTCAGATATTTAGGAGACTAGATTCTCCCCACGCACACACACACACACATTGGATACTTTAACATTAATCATGGCTCAATTGTTTTTTAAATACAAAAAGGCTTGGAGAGGGCCATCTGAGATCTCCTCCTAGGCAATACTGGCTGGCTTTTAGGATCTTCTTTAGACTGTTGAGTCTCTAGACAGTCAAATGATAAGACTCCAGCCTCCCAGCAAGGCTTAGGAGAGCATTGACACATGCCTTGAAGAGGTAATGATTAGTGTGCGTTATCCTGCTGCTTGTAGAATAACCACAGCCACTGCTGCTTTGGGGAGCACACCCATATCTGATTTACATAGTAATTTTTCAGTGTGAACACAGGAGTTTTCTACATCTGCACCACAGAAGTGTGGACTTTTCTGGGCTTCATGTTATACACTTTAAGGTGCCATAAAACAGGCAGATCAACTCTCTGAACTGGGTTTCCTTCCCACCTATCCACCATCTTGTTGGTTTTTGTTCTTGTTCCTTAAGAATAGTTTGTTCCTTCACCATGGTGTGTCTTTGGCAAGAGGAGGGGGAGACCAGAGTTGATCAAATTCCTGCCTTAGAAAGTGACGGGTGACTGGGAGTAGTTGACAGTGGCATTCCAAAGGCAAAGGTTGAATGGAAAAATATCATCCCTGAATATTTGTGAAACGTACTTTTTAAAAAATTCCCCCTTCCCTGAATTCTTCCTTTACTGGGTCTCTTAAATTTGCCTCCTTCTTGTCCATTCCTTCCCTACCTCTCACCCCCCTCCACCCAGTCCCTACCCCCACCAATGGCCTGGGTTGGGTTGTGCTTCCAGATTCCTTGAGACTTTTCATGAGTTTGCCACCAGATCACTTGATGCTTTGGCATGTCCCCCTGGAGACTCCACAAGGTGTGTACCCTAAACGCCACAGGGGAGACTGATTATACCCAGTCCTTCTGAATCTGAGCACTGAGCCATGAGGCCTTCCCTTCTTCCCTTTCACAAACTTGTCCTGTTCCCCAATCAGTATTTCCCCCTCCTGTGAGTATGGGTATGTGTGCACACCCCCTCCTTTCCCATCAAGATTCAAGATGTTGCCTCGTACATTTTTGGAAAAGCTTTGGGTGTAAATCAGTATATACTGGAGGAGAGATTTTTCTATCTTGTAGAGTAGGTATTTTTTATAGACTGAAGGTTGATCAATTTTTTAATACTTTCAAGAGAGAAAACTGTATCTGTGTATACACATTAAATATATATATATATATATATATATATGTATAAATATATAAATATTGAAGCTCAGCCTTTCTCCACTTGGGGTAATGTATCCCTGGTGACACAGCCTTTTTGTTTTCTGTTGATCACTAAGAGGTACTGTAAATGTAAATATGACTCGCCGGGAAAAGTTTAAAGACAAAACAAAAACCAACATGCAAACAAAAACACAAAGCACTGACTTGACCACTGACCATGCTTTAAACCCCCTCCCCCAAGAAAAATGACTTCCAGATGAAGTTCCTGGGCCCCTGGTATGTGAAAGGAATGCCGAAGAAAAGGCGACCAATGTGGTCTTCAATGATGCACCGATTCCTGTCTGATTAAAAGTTGTTAACCGTCAATGGCTGGGCCCTTCTCTTTTTCTTTGGAGGGAGGTGGGTGACTGTGCATGTATATGGTGTGGCTGGGGTCCAGCCTACTTGTTCTACCAAAATCTGTTGCATTCCAGAGATGATAATGACATTAGTAGTCCTGCCCCGGATGAGGAAATGGATAATCCAGGAGATGAAGTGACTGGCAAGTCAGTGGTAGACCCAGTGGGTGAGCTCAGCCCTTCTGACTCCTTCCCCCACACTTCTCCAGAGAGTAACAGCTCGTGCCAGCAGAGTTCTCTATAGATACAAACACCTGACCCTCATTATCTCCAAAGGGGAAATTCAGGAGTCACACCAGGGGTGGGTACTGATCTGCTCTGTCACTTACCATCTGGGTGACCTTGGGCAACTTACTTAACCTCTCTGGACCTCAGTTTGCTTCTCTGGAAAATTAGAGGTTGGACTAAATTGTTTCTAATACTCTACTCCTTCTAATTCTATGATGTTCACAAGGGTTATGTGATCAAATGGGATTACATAAATCTCTTTATGAATCTTATATGCTTATATATGCTATATAATGACAGTTATTATTAACAACAATAATAGTAAATGAGATGAAATGAAAAGCATTTTTCCAACTCAAGCATTGTACTGTAAAACACAAGATATAGTTATTAGTTGAATGAGCAGTGGAATCTGAGGTCAAAATGTCAATGGGTTTGAGACCTATACTGTCACTTTTATACTTTCAGATATTTTATCGCAGATATGTTGTTGAAGTTTTTAATGTATTTTACATGCAATGATGTCATGCAACATGTACCATGTGAGTCACGACATGGCACAGCATTGTCATCACGTATCAATGTGTAGCTGGCATGGTGACATGAAATTGCATGTGACACAATGGCATGTGGTGGCTTATGACATGATGTGTGACAGTCCACCTGACCAAGCAAAATAGTGAATGATGGGATCAGAGTATAGGTATTAGAAAAAGCACTGGGCATGGAGTCAGAATGGTGGAGTCAGAATGGTGAGCGAACAGGGCAGATCCTTTCAAAGCCAAGTTCTTAATTTTTCTATTGAGGACTCCAGGTCATTGAATATTGTTTCATTTTGTTTCATTTGCCTCAATCAATACACCGCTGCAATGGAAAGGCAGCAGTGCCGGCTGCACCATAACTCTTTGGAACCTTTGTAAGTGTATGAGTATATAGAGGGCTTCACACCTGCCTGACTTCCTTAAATTGACATGATTACATCTGACAAAGTTTTCTCTAGACCAGGGGTTCTTAACTTGGAGTCTGTGAACATTTTGAAAAAAAAAAATCAATCTTTTGATAGGCCAGCTAAGTGATACAGTGGGTTAAGCCCTGAGCTTGGAATCAGGAAGACACATCTTTCTGAGTTCAAATTCAGCCTCAGATACTTGTTGGCTATGTGACCCTGGGCAAGTCACTTCACCCTGTTTGCCTCAGTTCCTCATCTGTAAAATGAGCTGGAGAATGAAATGGCAAACCAGCTCTAGTATCTTTGCCAAGAAAACCCCAAATGGGGTCACGAAGAGTCAGACTTGACTGAAACAACTAAGCAACAATAATATGTTGATAACTTTTTCAATACAGTTGGCTTCCTTTGTAGTCCTATATACTTTAATGCATTTTATTTTTATTTATTTTTAATCATAGTTGCTTTACTTTTAATAATGAGAAAATGTGAACAAACTATATATATCCAACCACTGGAAAATAACTGGATAAATTGTAGTATTCCATGGAATATTGCTTATTAAAAATACAAATGTAAATATTTTTTTAAAAAAAAACATGAAGTGATGTAGAGCAAACTATGACCAGGGAAAAAAGTTTTTAAGTCCCTATATGAGATAGTTGATCTGGATGGAACATGTCTGACCCAATATTGTGATTTTTGTATTGAAGCCACAGATGTGAAGTTTGTTAAACCTAATGCAACTGGGGCTCTCACTGAAACCAATTTCAATAAAGGGTAACTGGGTCACAAATCCATATGACACATTTTTTATGGCCATAAGTATTTTAATTTTGAAAACATGTTTTCATTCTACACTTAATGTTTTGATTGCTTTTAGCATATCAACTAAAATGTGTAACTTCTTGAGAAAAGCAATGTTCAAATTACATCTTGAATCAATCTAAAGTGAATTGGAGAAAAACCATTTTAAAACATTATTCAGAGAAAAGGTCCATAGGCTTCGCCAGACTGCCAAAGGTGTCCACCACACAAGAAGGTTAAGAACCCCTCATCTAGGCCATTTATTTCCTTCCTCATCTTCACCTCCTCTCTTTAAGACTCTGTTGTTCTCTTAGTGCCCTTGACAAGTATTTCTGTTTGTAACATTGCTGGAAGGCAATACGTTTCTTTCTGGCAAGAACGCTGTCCATACCAGAAGTGTTTCCAGCTACATGAGACCTGCCAAGGCTGGTACTCTACTAGCATGGCCTTGAAGACCCTTGGGTCACCTCCACCCACAGTGAAGCATGACTTTAAGCCCAGAGGCTTCCTAAGGAACTCAGGGACACATGGACCCTTGAAGCAAAATCTCAGAGAAATCTCCCAAATAAAGCTTAGGTGTGGTTCATGGCTAGGTCTCTCCAACTACCAAAATCCCTTCTCCAAAAGTGTTCAATGTACAAATAGGGGTATCAAGTTTGGGATAGCTTTTATTTCAGCTACCACCAAAACACATGAGGACTCGGGCCTGCACAGACGAACTTGGGAAATATACAAAACTTTCAAGTAGCTAACACATATAGTACTTTGAGGTTTGCAATGGGCTTTACCTTTATATATATCATGTCATTTAATTCTCACAGTAATCCTGGGAGGGAGGTGCTCTTATGATCCCTGTTTTACACTTGGAAAAGGAAACTGAGGCTAGGAGTTGGAATGATGTGCCCAGGGTCACAGAGCTGTTAAGTGTCTGAAGTAGGATAGCCTTTCCCAGAAGAGAAAGATACCCCCACCCCTGTGGCCTCAAGGCCACATGTGGCCCTATAGGTCCTCAAGTGAAGCCCTTTGACTGAATCCAAACTTGGGATTTGTTCTGTGAAATTTGGGTTCAGTCAAAGGCCTGCACTTGAGGACTGAACAAATATTCTCTATTTACTTCAGACCTGCCTCATTGATTTCAGGGCAACGGTCATTAATATCATGGAGACCTGGGAAGTTCCATGTCTCCTGTCCTACATAGTGTGGCTTTATTCCTTCAGCTGCAGAATCCTTTAGTTGGTGGTCCTCTGAGAAGCATGTTGTTAAAGAAT